CCCCCAAAAAAAAAAGATTGTTTGGGAAAACAAATCACTCTCTTTGTCTGGTTAACGTTCTGACTTTAATATGGTTTTAACAAAGGATGAAGAAAGCTTTACAAAAATAACCACTTGCTTGACAAAGATAATTTTCTTTAATTCAAAAGCTTTAAAAAAAACCCCACAAAAACCCCAAGACCGTTTGGGAAAACTTATGACTCACTTGGTCAAGTTAATGTTCTGGTGTTTCTCCATCCAGCCGATGACGACAGCGTTGCTTGTGGTGGTGGCGCACGAGATGAAACATTCCAGATACTGGGAGTAGATTACTGGGGACCAGATACATACAAAGTTGTTGTTGCTGTTGTTGTTGTTGTTGTGTTGGTAGTGTTGTTGTTGTTGTGGTGGCAGCGCATGAGATGAAACATTCCAGATACTGGTAGTAGATTACTGGCGACGTGATACATACAAAGTTGTTGTTGTTGTTGTTGATATGTTGTTGTATGTGTATGTGAGACCAACAGATATACGGGACAAAGGAGTCCGTAATAATTTCTCAGTTACACCTATCAGTGACCCTGAGATATTAATTCTAATCTTGATGTTGATGGTGATGATTGTGGAGGTGATAAGAGCGTAGTTTCATCGGTGTTCTCATGGTCGATAGGGGTGTATAATCTCCTGAACAAAAACGAAAAAAGCAACAAAAAACACAATAAAATAAGAAAAAAACAAAAGAAAAACAACACAAGCTTGCCTTGTCTGACCCACTCTCCGCGATTCTTCTCGTTATGAGCCTCGTACTTGGCGTATGTCGCGTTTTTGTACTTTCCCGACACGATGTCCTTCAGCTGCACGTTCAGGCACGGCTCTGGGGAGGAAAAGAGGAGGCTATCAGAATACCACAGGAATGCCATCGGAATATTATTAGAAAAGCAAAGAAAAACTATCAGAATACCCTGGGAATATCATCAGAATACCATAGAAATACTCACAAAATACCCTGGGATTACCATCAGAACATTATTAGAATACCATAGAAATACTGTCAGAATACTATGGGAATACCATCAGAATATTATTTGAATATCATGGAAATACAGTCAGAATACCATGGGGTTGTATATACCATCAAAGTACAGTTAGAATACCATCAGAACACCATGGGAATACCATCAAAATACTATTAGAATACCATAGAAATACTATAAGAATACAGTGGGAATACCATCAGAATACTATTGGAACACTTTCAGATTACTACTGGAATACTATCATAGCACTAACTGAATACTATCAGCTTACCATCGGAATACCATGGGCATACTATCAGAATACCATGAGAATACAACCAGGGCTGAGAGGGATACAGTGACCCAGTAGAAAAAGAGAGATACTCAATAAAAAATTTTCTCAATTCGGAAATTGAACTTGGGTCTCTCGCGTGCAACAGCGACACACCTAACCTCTACACCACAGACACCAGCCTGCTTCATTCCCCCTATCCCCCCCCCCCCCCCCGTCCAATTTTTTTTTTTTAAAGAGAAATTTGACGTTAAAAATTTTGAGTTTCACAACATGTCAAGCTTTTTCGAATGCATTTCTTTGAATATCTTGATAACTAAGCCCTGAATAAGCTAATGATTTTGACAGAGCAAATAGAACATTTGATGTCTCGCTTCATGGTCTTAGTAACTCAAAACAGCCAAAAATGTCGGATGGAACTTCGTAATTTTAAGATAGCGAAATGTGTTACACACATCCATCCATAATTCGGGTAAATTGTACAGCTAAAAGCTCAAGAGATATCAGTCGGAGAAATAGCAAATTGTACAAGATATCCGTGACTTTGAGTTTTACATAATATATATATATATATATATAATATCATAAGCTCAACTGCACTTTCCTGTCAAAATTGGGAACATTTAAAGCACAAATAACATAAACCAATTTGACATTTTGAAAAAAAATATATACAGTAGTATAATACAACTCAAAATATTAAGATAGTAATAACAAAATAGATAACAGCTTTACAATGACGAAAGCATTTTCTTCGAGCGTGCAGCATAACTCAGAGAGATGGGACGACAGAGAGAGAGTGAGATATATAGATAGATATATA